CTACACCATATCCTTAAGCTCTAAATTGACCCTACTCTTAAACACCTCCAGGGATGGGGACTCCACCACCTCCCTGGGCAGCCCATTCCAACACCTAACAACCCCTTCTGGAAAGAAATACTTCCTAATACCAGTCTGAACATTCCCTTGTGCAACTTGAGGCCATTACCTCTTGTCCAGTCGCTTGTTACTTGGTTAAAGAGACTCATCCCCAGCTCTCTGCATCCTCCTTTCAGGTAGCTGTAGAGGGCGATGAGGTCTCCCCTCAGCCTCCTCCAGACTAAACACCCCCAGTTCTCTCAGCCACTCCCCATACGACCTGTGCTCCAGACCCTGCCACCAGCTTCAGCCATTCTCATGGCCCTCTCCTTCATCTTTCAGCATTGCCAAATTCATTTCAACATGTGTTTCTTGAAACTGAGAACATATCTGCAGCTGTTGCTTTGCATAGCTGCAAAGGAAAATGCAAGATTGAGGTCTTTTGTGTGATAGGCAACACTTGTGATAATTTATTTTAGAATTTTTTTTACAGTGACTCGGTAATTCCTGAGTCAGTGTGCACATACTAATTAAGGTTTTTTCTTGGTAACTGGTGGCCTATAGGGAAAGTAAAGAAGGAGCTTGATCATGACGATAACCATTTACATCTGGATGAAACAACTAAGCTGCTGCAGGACCTCCATGAAGCTCAGGCGGACAGAGTGGGATCCCGGCCATCATCCAATTTGAGTTCCCTCTCCAATACCTCTGAAAGAGACCAGCATCATCTTGGTAAAGTTCGCTGTGTCCCAGAAGTTGCAGTACTTCTGCTCTAATTGAAACTGGTTGAAACTTATATTTTAATTTACATAAATCTTTGCATGAAACTACTCTGATAAAAAACAGTGTGCTGAGTGATACAGGATCATGTTTTAATTTTTAAGTATGCATTGCAAATGCAACTTAGAAGATACAGTTTTGGCCTGTGGAATTAAGGATGCTAATTGTAGTTACTTATTTTTTGATTTGCCATGATTGAAGTAATTGTGAAGTAAATTGATACTGACAAATCCCTATATGCATTTGTGGTTTATGCTCTTAAAAATACTGAGGAGTATATAACGTTTATTTTACTTCCACATAGTTGTATACAGCAAGTTACAGGTGGGATTCTACACTAGCCTTACAGTGTCAACTGTAAAATTCAGCAATAAGACAGGATGATAGGGTAACATACCACTTAACAATTTGGTGTCATTTCTAAGAAGTTAGGAGATGTTGGTTTGATGATAATTACCTTACATATAATTTTTCAACAGAGTAATGGCTGCTTTTTCAAAGAGGATTTAAATTACTAAGGAATCTTGTAACTTCTTTTTCAAAGTCTCGTGTTTAAATATCATTTAAATGTCTGTCTTGCTTTAAAAGTCTGAAAGGAACATGTAGAGTAACCATGCTGTTTATATACCTAATTATCTCTACATTATTTTTCTGTACTTGTAAAGGTTTTGATTTTATTTTTTTTTTCTTTTCATATTCTACAGGAAGCCCTTCTCATCTGAGTGTTGGAGAACAGCAAGACATGGTTCACGATCCCTATGAATTTCTTCAGTCTCCGGAAACCTCAAATGCCACTACTAACTAATCTGACATGTATTATATGTATTTTGTATTTTAATTGTATTATGTTTTTATAAAGTTTTTGTCCATGGCAGAAACCTCAATTTTTTTCCTCTTTTCTGCGAGGATTCCTGTATAATATTATCATACATGCTGGATTAAACAAAAGAAAAATACCTACTTAGTATATTATGTTGTTAGCAATGTACCAAAACCTGCTTTTGATTTGTTTGTTGAGGGAGGTCACTGTCTACTGGTGTGTAAATATTGGCTGATGTGTTAGAAAAATTTGTCTTTTATAGAAACTAAAAAGTGATAGCTTTCCCAGTATCATGGCAGTGGTCATGAAATGTTTCTACTAGAATTCTCTACCAATTCTGTTCGGGTCTTTAACATCTTCAGGGAGGAATATTTTATTTCAGCAGTGACAGAACGGCATGAATTGTGATCATTATGTTTCCCATCTCCTAACCCTGATTTGTAGAAGTTGTTTCTGCTTCCCTATGCTCTTAAATATATATTTTTTTTTAATCACTCTAGAGAATACTTAATTTGAGTTACTTGCATTAAAAAACTCACTACAGAAATTCTACCCTGGATCTAAAAAAGATGGATGTTTTTGTGATCCCTTGTGTCTTGAAACAAAATATAATACTTATATTTTTTAATTGGATATGTATATTTACTTGGAAGGAAGAAATACTGGATAAGTGTGCTTTTCAGTAATTTTAAAATAAAACTTTTATAATTCAGTACTGATGTAACTGGGGCATTTTGTACCATTGATATGTGTAAGTTGGCAAATGTTATGAATTTTCAATATTTTGTAAATATTAATAAAAATACAAAATTACTTTTGATGTTTGCAAATGTCTTGTTCTTGCCAGGAGATAATTTGCTACCTTAACATTACTAAGTCTAAAACAATAGAGGGTTTTGGTCTGAATTTTTGTGCTGCTTCAAAAGATAAATTTCATCATGCCACATACAACTGTAAAGAAAATTAACTGAATTTCTAGGAACCAACACAGAAGTCTGTCAGGTAACTGATATTAAAGCCTTGATAAAGTCTAAATAGGGAGATCTGGTCATTCAAATTAGGTATTTATGGTCTTGACTGTTTCCTCTTCCTTGTCCTCCGAGATGCTTCTTCCCAGCCCTTCCCCACCCCACTTCTCAGGGTTCTGTTTGCTGTTTGGATGTGACATGTAATTTTATGTTCAGTCAGCTGTGATACTGGCAGATGCCCTTCAGCCAGTCAGTTTTGCAAAACAGTTAAGGACGCAGTGGCCCGCTAAAGGCTGGAAATAAAAGAGTATCAGGAAATGGGAGCTCCTGAAATCAGCATTGCCCAGCAAAGGCAATTTGATAGCAAACCCTTTATAATTACGAGCTCTCTCAGTTGTGAAGGATCCTACGCTTCTCTCAGAATGAAAATCTGTAGCACACCCCTCACGCTGTCAGGATGTCATTCTGGTGTCTTGCCTTAATACTGAGCAGAAGCATAGAGTTTTGTAAGACAATTTGATAGATCAGAGAGGCAGATTTAATAGGCAGATAGCTATCTGCCCTTGATATAAGTATCTTGGTTTTCTGGTTCAGCCTGAGGTGAGAAGTTTTGGTCATTTAGAAAGTTTGGTGGCTAACAGTACTATTGCAGCTTTAAGAGATGGAGTGTATTTTTAATCAGTCTTTAAGCTCGCTCTTTTTTTTTCTTCTTTTTTTTTTTTTTTTTTATTTTACAGAGTGCACATGGTGGTCAGGAAGGGTTGGGATGGCACAGCTAGAAGGGGCAGAACTGGTGGAGGTCATAAGGCCCAGATACTCATCACATGAGTTATTGAAGGATGATTACTTTTGTGTGTACAGTGAAGGTATTCCTAAGTGCAAATGTGTAATTCTGTGTGTTTAAGCTCTTCTTCTACCCACTCCCCCCCAAATACCTCTGAATATAGTATCCTTTAACATAAAATCCTTCCTCAGCAGCTGCTCTTAAGCCTACAAAGCATACAGTCAAGATGAAAAGGGAGGAATTGATTCTAAGGCCCTGCTGTCATTTTCCAGAAGGCTGAAAGGCAGATGTTGACTCTCAAAGAGCCATTTCTGTTATCTTTGAAGTGCTTTCAGAGCTGCAAGAGAATAATATGAATTTGGACCTAGGTTCAGCTCACCTTAGTAGACTTGGTTTTGTTATACTGCAATTACCATGCCCTTGTGAAATGGTTGTCAGGATAACTACGCTCCCAATCTTTTCTTGTCCTGTCATTAGGCAGTACTGAGAAGAATCTGTGTCTCTCTTCTTAACTCCCTCCTGTCAGGTATGTGTACACATTGATGAGATCCCTCCTGAGCCTCTTCCATGCTGAAGAGTCCCAGCTCTCTCACAGCCTCTCCTCATAGGAGAGATGCTCCGATCCCCTCATCCTTGTTGGCCTGTGCTAGAATTGCTCCAGTGACTCCATGTCTCGCTTGTACTGGGGAGCCCAGAACTGGACACAGCACTCCAGATGTGTCTCACCAGCGCCGACGAGAGATGAAGGATCAACCTCCCTCGCCCTTCTGGCAAAGCAATGCTGTATGCAGCCCAGAACAGGGATGGCTGCCTTCGGTGGGAGGGTTCGCTGCTGGCTCATGGACAGCTTGTAGTCCACCAGGGATGCCAACACCCCCCTCTGCAGAGCTGCTTTCCAGCCAGTGGGCTACCAGTCCAGGTGCAGGATTTTGCATTTCCTTGAACTTCATGAGGCTCACCTCTGCCCAGTTCTCCAACCTGCTTAGGTCCCTCTGAATGGCAGCATGTCCATCTGTTCTGTCACTCTCACAGTTTTGTATCATTGGGCCCTGGCTTTCTTAACCCCATCCCTTCAAGATCAGACAGCATCTCTATGTTCCTCCTGGGTCACCTGCCCTGTTGCCAACTCCTGTACATTTCCTTTTTATCTGAGTTCAGCCAGGAGCTCCTCTGTGCAGGCCTCCAGCTACCTTTACTTAATTTTGTACCTGTCAGGATAGGCTATTCTTTAGCTTGGAGGAGGTGATCCTTGAATATCAACCAGCTCTTCTGGACATTCCTTTTCTCTAGGGCCATATTCCATGGGATTCTTCCAAGGTGATCTCTGAAGAAGTCTATTCTCCTGAAATCCGTGTCTGTTGGCCCTGCTTTTTGTCCTGCTACCCCTCTTGGTGTCTTGAACTCCACCATCTCATGTTCACTGCAGCCAAAGCTAACCCTGCCTTACAAATGAGGAAGAACTCCTTGGGGGTGTGGAAGTATCAGGTCCAGCAGAGCACCTTTCCTTGTTAGCCTCTCAATCAATTGTGTCAGGAAGTTGTCAATACACTCCAGAAATCTAGATTGCTTGTGCCCTGCTGTGTTGTTCTTCTAACTCACCATAAGTGATGAAAATATACTTGTAGTATCTTTCTGATAATTTGCAATGTTTTAATTTTCAGATCCAAAACTGTTTCTTGTAATCACACATAATACTGAAAGATACCCTTTGAACACACAGATTTAATTTTTTCTCTTTAGCTACCATAAATAAACCTTGGTAATAAATGTGATATACAAGGATGTATTATATACAAGTGCATCTCTCCTGTACTACTTGCTACTCCATCTCATATTGCTTAGTCCAAAGATGTAAAACTGTGGCAGCTTCTTCTTTTGAGACAACCATAACAAACTTATACAGAAAGTTAAATTCCAAAGAAAATAATATTATGAACACAAAGTAATCACATCAACACAGATATTCAAGCTTGGCAAAATCCTTAATGAAGTGAGTTCAAATGGTGGCTATGGGGACAGGAAGGTCTTCTCTCAGGAGGAAGCCACCAGACAGGTTCATCTTGCATCTTCAGCAGTGAAACTGCCATTTTACAAGAATTTGTATTCACTCCTACTCCAGTTTTCCTTATGCATTCCCAATGAATATGTAAGACATTGTGAGGTCAAAGAATCCCATAAAGTTTTCTTCCACCAGGCAAAGGACTTGCATAGATGTTTGTGTATGGCAGTTCTTCCTCTTCTTACATACACTTACTTCTGAAATTTTAGCAGTTCACAGATCAGGGAAAGTGTCCATGTGTCAAGCACCATGGAAAACAGAAATACAGAGAATATATCAAGAGCTGGTCATTCGTAACAACTTGCCCTGCATCACAAAACAATTCAGTTCTATATGGAAGCTGAGAAGGGGAGGGGTCTGTGTACTTTAAATCTAATTGCAATTGGAAAGAATTGCCATTGAAAGAAGTCCCTCAAGGGAGTTACTTGGATAAAATAGACCCAGGCACTTTCAGAAGTGCATAGTAAGAGGACAAGAAGTAACTGGCATGAGTTGCAACAACAAAAATTCTGACATTTTCTTATCAGGAAAAAAATCTTCGCTATGAGAATGGTCAAGCATTGAAACAGGTTGCCCAGAGAGGTCATTTAATCTTTGTCTTTACAGGTTTTCAGATGGATTTGGAAGTTAATTCCAGCTAGCTTGGAAGCTAACTTTGACTGAAGCAGGAGAGGTGCCTTTCAGCTAAGCTTTTTCGAAGATTCTGTGATTTATCTACTACAATCATGAGATCATCCTCCTGAAAGGGCCTGAGATTATAGCCTTCTGGAATAGTTTACTATGAGAAATGGTGAGAAACCACTGGGATTTTAATGGAAAAAGTATCTACACCCTCTTCAATTTAATTACATTGAGAAGGCAAGGACTCCAGCTATGAGTAGGACAGACTAGATGGAGGAATCTGGTCTAAGTAATAATTGTACTGAGAATGTGAGTATTGATGGGTAAATGTTGTTGAGACATACTTAACCTTCAAGATTAAATCAAAGATTAGGTTAAAATCAGAGATTTCTCTTTAAGATGAAGATAATACTGTATGGTAACATTTTGATAGGATGACTTCAATCATGTTTTTTCATAGTCTACCTGAGTGAACCTAGGAAAAGATGACAGGTTCCACTAACATCTTATTTGAACATTCATCTAGACCACTAAACTGTTTTCAGATATGGATGCAAATACCTCTAACACTGCTAGGAAGTCTCCTTATTAGGGAAGACCTGAATTTTAGAGAAAGGTTAGAGAACAAATTTTGTTAATAATAGTGAACACAGACATTTCTGGATGACATTTCCACTAACCATGTTTTCACTGAAGAATTGCTGAGCCAACTCTATTGATTGCTATTTTAGACTTGATTATGATAATGAATAGAAAAGAGATCTTTAGGAAATTTTGGGGTTGAAGAAGGATGACTTGATTTA